ATACTTTTGTCATCTCCATAAAGGGTAAAATTGAAAATTTAATTAAAGGACAAGAGCACTCTACAAATAAAATTACAAGACACTAACATCTAAAATGCCATTGTACTTTTGAAAAAAAAAATTCCTTGCTTAATGGTTAAGTTACCTATTAAGATAAATTTTTAAACAAAAAATAATGACCTTTTTTATCACAACCCCTTCTAACCTTAAGCTTTGTGTTTTGAGGGGTTGTTAACTCTAAACAAACCCATAGAGAGAGAGAGAGTAAGTGATTTCATCTCACCATATTGAAACCACACTTTTGGAAAACCAAGTTTATGGCATTTGTATGGCCCGAAAATTGCATACACCCTCTCATCCATCAATTCCAAAAAAATAAAATTCAATTTGCACCCTAGATATGGCCAAAACGAATACCCTCCGACAATGAATCTAGACCATCCATTGGGTGAATTTCAAGATATACCCCTTTATGAACTCAAAACCAACTTTTTTAGTTTTTAACATTAAAGCCATCTAAAAATTGAGATAGGGAAAAAATTATGCTAAGGCCTAGATCTAAGCGTCTCATACAAATGGACAGCCTAAGTTAATTGGGCTAAAAAACACTTTCTCGTGTGTGTTTTTTAATTTTGTTTTTCTGTGATTTTCATCAAAATAAAAAGAGTCTATATTTAAAAATTAGGGACAAATAAATGGCCCTAACATGGTTTTTTGAAGATCGTTTCATTATATTACAATAGAATCATTGCATGAAACCACCCCCCATATATAAATATTTATCACTAAAATACATTTTCAATATTGAGATGATATTTTCAAAAACACGTATTCAATTATAAAGAGAGAATTTAATGGATCCATCTCCACATATGAGCTTCCATTAGGTAGACTTATTAGATACTACGTATTCAATTATAAAGAGCGAGAGTTTAATGGATTCATCTCCACATATGAACTTCTATTAGGTAGATTTATTAGATATTATTAAATTTATTAGATTAAATGAAATTGATTAGATAACTCCTATTATATATTATTAAATTGGTATAATCCCTTCATAAAAGGTAAGTTAAAAGTTGAGAAAACAATGCAATTTACCTTTTCAGTTAATTATTTTTTGTTTTTATTTTTTTGCAGTTTTTTAAAATTATTTTTTACATATATTAGTAAGTATATTATTTGCTTAGAAATCTCCATTGTTCTGGAGACTTAGGAAAAATAAAAATGTAACAAAGGAAAAAAGAATTTTATTTTTCAATATAATTGTAGTTTTCATAACATGTCACATAAAATTCTTTATTGTATTAGTAATTCATCATTTTAATTGTTTCATTTTAATTTAATTATTTTAATGTTGCATAAAGATAACTATCTTAAATAGGTGAAATAATAGTAAATAGATAAACATTTAAGTCTATATGCTTAAGTCTATGTGTTTAATGAAATGAAAATTGAGAAAGAGGGATAGAGACGTTTAAAAGAGAGATGAGTGAGAGGGCATAGAGAGATGAGAAATGAGAGAGATAAGTTTGTGATAGAGAGAAAGGGAGACAGATTTTTGGAAAGAGGAAGAGTGATTTAAGGAGAGCGGTTGGGATTTGCATGAATAGAATGATAGGGAGAGATTAATAGATGATAATTAATGAAATAGACATTAATTAATGGAGAGATATAAGGAGATAATCAATATTATATAAATTAAAAATCAAGGAGGCAAAGTTCACATTCAAGGGGACACTTCTTACAATAATAAAGGGGGGCCTCCTCTGGCTTTGCACAAGGATCTTACATATACAATGTAACCTGAGCTCAGAAACACATAGCTAGATTGTTTTTTTTTTTTTAAGAGATGAAATTTTGTACTTCTTTGATTTGAAAAATAAAGAATTTAATTATTAAGTTCTTGAAGATCCAAAATCCACCAAATGGACAGCCTGCATTCACCTAAATGGTGGGACTCATTTTCTCCCATTTTCTGGGGCAAACTCAATTTTCTTTTTACTTTTATTGCCTATATACATGTGCAATGGACCTCTACTTAAATAGTGGCCAACACTATGATGTAAGGCTTATACATCCATACTACATACATGTATATGTAGTATGGATGTGTGTATGTATGTATGGAGACACAGATATATATCAAAAGCTCGGTTAAATGTAGTTTATAAGCTACAATACATTCATTGATGTGCCAACTAGGATGCTCATTTAACATTCCCAAAAAAAAAAAGGCTCCTAGTATATATATCCGTAACTGAAACCAGGCATCTTAGCTCACAGTACATTTCCATAGACTCGCCAAAAAGTTACAACAGGATAGACTTGCCAAAAAGTGACAAAAGGCTCAACCAATTCATGGCAAGGGATGCTCTAGTGCCCAAAAGTTGCAAATACATTTTTTTTCCCCAATACTTATCAGTAATGAAATTAAGACCGGGACGGACTGGGTTCAAGGGTCCCAGCCACAAGGAGCAATGAACCGGTCATAACCGGTATGTACCGATCTTAACCAGGTGGTTAAAACTTGCCAATTTCGTTGAACTAGCTGGTTCAAAATGGATGTTTTTAATTTACATAATTCTTTGTTTAGATTTTCTGACCATTTTGACTAATGAACTGGCTGATCCGACCAGTTTGGACTGGACGGCACCCTCACAAGGATGGTCCTAACAACACTGCTTCTATGTGGGTGCCAAATATATACCATTAACATAGAAAACTTATGTAACAAGATAATGGTCTACGTCATTGCGGTAATGTCGATAGTCATATTTCTGCATCAAAAACCATATAATATTTATTATTATTATTTTGGATAATGTTGACATGCACAAAGCATATAATATTTTGGGGGTGAAGGGGTCAATAATTCAAAACCTTGTCAAGTATCAAAGATATCTAGTATCTGTATCCATATTCCTATGAGGAGGATATTTAATAAATCATAATTTAAATTTTTATCTTGGCACATGCTCCTTGAGCAACGAAATGCATTTCCAACTAGCATTTCATTCATCAAAATGATGCATTCATGTTCTATATGTCATCCTCTAAGAATTTAAGCGCAAAAAATTCAATACCTCCAATGCAACCTTATCAGAGCACTTTAAACCTTTTCTGAACAGTCCAACAATGCACCACACAAGCGTTCATAATCAATAGGCAGTAAACACTTAAGGACACTAGTTTGCTAATGCATGAGCATGCAGCCAATGGGAGTCGGACGGACAATATATGTTATCGTGGCATGTGAATGCATTTCTGACTAGGATTTGATCCATCAACATGGTGCACTCATGCTCTATAAGCCATCTCCAATAATTTAAGCTCTACAAAAATTCAGTCCCTCCATGGCCACCTGATCTGAGCACTTCAAAGTTCATTTGAACACTTCAATAATATGCCACACAAGCATTCATGATCAATAGGCAGTCAATACAACACAGGAACCCTTTCTAAGGCATTTCTTTAGCTTGAGAACATGCAGCCTGTGGGAGGTGCACAATATAACATGCTCTTTGTCCAATGAAACGCATTTCTGATCGGCATTTAATCGAAACATGATCCACTCATAGTATCAAGTGATCTCTAAGAATTTAAGAACAACAAATATTCAGTCCCTCCAATGCGACCTTCATTGAGCACTTCAAACCTCATATAAACACCTCAATTATGTGCTACACAAGCATTCACGATCAATAGACAGTTAATACGTAGGGTGCTAAGTCATTTCTCCATCTTGAGGCAAGTTGTCTATGGGACGTGTACAACTTAAAGGCATTTGAGTCAGGTAGAGTAAATGTATCACCTTTTAATGTGGCTATCAAACTCAGTAAACTCATGAGGAACCCTTATTTCAATTTATCAAAATCATTTTTTCCTACGACAATTTTCATTAAAATAAATGAAGAATACAAGCAATAAAATATGTCAAGATGGCATCTCGATACTGAAGAAGTAAAACCGAGATTGATGCATCTGCCACCTTATTAGAACTGCAAGGCATACAGTGGAATATGACAGGTTAATAGCCACAAGCTTCCACAACTTCTGCCACTAATTGACTCACTCTCCATGGAACTGCTGCCTCACTGCTAACCCATTATACACATTTAAAAATATCGTTCTACTATCAATGGGACCCATGCTGGACTGATTGCCAACTTAAAACAGTTAACACCCTTAAGCAGAGGTCACATTTCGGCCATAGTTGAGTACAAACTCCAAGGAACCAAGTCCGATTAGATTCCTTCAAAATGCCACCCATCCCAGCTGGTCCCAGGTTTCCATGAGAACAGCATTCAGAACGAGTTTGAAAGTATGAATTGCAGCCTCTAGTTATTCTCATTAACTTCACTAATTGTACTGTAAATATTTGAGAAGCTAGTGAGCTGGATATATTCCACAAGAGATGCTCATTTTTATATCAATCCATTCAGAATTTGTGTTTCTCATATTATGCATCATATTACGACGAAGTTAATGAGCTAGAAAATTTGAGACTAGTTTTGCAATGGAAATGTGGATGAAAACAATGTCAAAGCTGTTAAATAACCACATGAACGGATAAACCAAACATAAACAAACATTAATCATTTCAATAGTTATATAGGGCATGGTATCTTACATGAAATACAAAGAAAAACTTGAGCTGCACAAAAAATGCAAGTGCAGCGTGGAGTCTTGATTCTACAAGTAACTAATCTACACTATCTGAAAACATGAAGTTATGGTAACTCATGCACAAAGGTCTAGAAATTCATGAAGAGGATATCAACTCAGAAAATAAATATTACAAAGCAACTTACATAAAAATTTAGCACTAAATAATAAAAGCATCATAACAATTAGATAGGAAATACAATTGAATAGACAAATAAGCTACATTTGCTGCTGCAAGGTGGGGTGTGTGAAGATATAGTTCACAGAAACAGTCTAGCGTCTACCAAACCGATGTTCACAGAGCAACTTGTGCATTCACCAAGAATGACTTCTACATATCTAACCTTTTTCGCTGTTATTAATAGGTTCAGAATAGTCAAGGACTTCAACAAAGATAAGGGACATATTAGTTAAAGTTAGGCACAACATTTAGGCTGACATGAACTCTAAAGGCACATAGAAAAGACACATCCATGGTCCTCAGAATCTTACACAATTGCACAAGGCAAGTGTACAGCGATGAAGATTAAAGTTAAAAAAAACAGTCAAAAAGAGAACATGAAGCCTGCAAAAAGGTAAAAGCTTACAACATAGCTTATGCTTCAGCAACCTCCGATCCTTTCTGAGAAAATGGGTCATGCGTCGGGCCAACATCCTGCCCAATGTGCCTCTGAACCAGTCTCTGCAAATCTGACATCACCTTGTGCTCTCTCTTCGCCTTCTCCTCGTAATTGAACATAGCCAACGCTCGCTTATCTTCAGCACTGTAAACCTGGTTTTCTTTCCTTATACGAATCGCATTCATTCTTTGATGCCTGCTCCCACTCATGACATAACCCAAGCCCTCAAACTTCTGAATCTCTTCAGCTGAAAGACCCACTTCTCCTCTCCTAGGAATACGCTTCCCTTGCTGAACATACTGAGCAATGGCATCTCCTTCTCCAGGCCGTAGGGCACCTCCATAGCTGATATGGCCTTCAGCTCTAGGGAGAGGCATAGGCCCAACAACAGGCTCATTTTCAAGGCTTGAGTTGGGTTTCTTTTGTGACTCTATCATCTCCTTGAACATGAGAGCTTCATTATCAATCTCTGGTTTTTTGGGGGCTTCTTCTTTTTCCTTTTGGGCCTCATTGCCCCCATTATCTAATGAATTGTTGGCCTCTGAATCTGAGTGCTTCTTTTTCTTGGGTTTGTTAGGGTGGGAAGATGGTTTCAAACCCGTCCTAGCATCATCAGATTCATCGCTTTCTCTCTCACCACTGCTTTCACTTTCATCAGAACTGATGTCCCTTCTACTCCTCCTTGACTTTCTACCCACTACCCCTTTTCTCGAATTCCTTTTGAGGCTATGCTTTCTCTTGGGTTTTTTCTTTTCATCAGAAGAGTACTCTGAACCACTCAAATCATCACTTTTTTCACTTCCAGAGACCGAATCTCTGCTCGTTTCATTCTTCCTATGAGACCCACTTCTATTATGTGTTCTTCTATCTCTTTTCTTCCTCCTTGTTCTAGGCGAGCTGCTTATCTATGAACCAGAACCAGATTCACTTTCTGATTCCTCATTCTCTTCGCTCTCTGTGACTGAATCTCTTCTCTTCCTATTGCTCCCCTTACGATGAGACCCAGTTCTATCTCCTCCAATTTCCCTCTTCTTCCTCTTCTCCGAGTCATCAGAACCAGAATTTGATTCACTCTCCGATTCATCTGAAACTGGACGGTTTCTATTTCTGCTCTTAATATGAGACCTACGTCTCTCTCTTCTTCCTCCCCTTTCTCTTCTCTTCATCTCGGGTGATTTGCTTATCTCTGAATCAGAATCAGAATCAGACTCTGGTTCACCCTCTGATTCCTCAAATTCATCACGAATACTCTTTTTTCGATCTTTATAGTCAGAGGAAGCTTTCCTTCCACTACCGGAGAACCCATCTCCAGAATTAACCCTAGATTTCTCACCAGATTGCAAATCCTTCTCATTTATGGCAATTTCAACTCCATTTTCTTGATCATCGCCATGATCCAATCTAGGAGGACTTGGGGTGACATTCCATATACAATTCAACAATCGGTTCCTCAATTGTTGCCTCTTTATCCTTCTGTATTCTTCATAGTTCAAACCCTTCAACTCTTCATCATCAGTATCAGAAACCCTACCATCTCGAGAACCCTTATCCCTATCGAGAAAATACCTATTAGACCTTCCTCCATAGCCATCGTGTCGAGACCTTGAGTTCCTGAAGTGACTAGGGCTAGGGCTCCGATCATCATCAAGGCTTTGGTGTCGGTCATTCCAGTCCGGCGACGAGTGATGGCCGTTGGATCTCATACCTTGGGTCTCTAGTGAAGCACGCCGATAAGATCCACCGGCTCGGGTTTCAGGAGAAGAATCCCTGCCATAGGATCTCCGATCTAGGGTTTTGGGAGAATGGCGGTCGTATGATTTCCGGCCTAGGGTTTCGCATCGGCTAGCGCCATTTCTTAGCTTGTGGTAGGGTTCAGAAGATTCATCGTATTCACTTCTACCCATTCCGCTGTGAGATAGATCAATACGACAAGGATAACATAAGAGGAGGTCTTGTTTGTTGGTGTATTTATAGGAGATCAGAGACCGACCTTCAAAGTTCAGACCGGCCTTCAAAGTTCTTGCGCATGGCAAGTGTAGGCCGCCCCAATTTACAGTAGGTTATCCATGATTCTAACCACGAAACGTAATTCTAACTGCGGAAAACATGGGTTCCCATCGAACCCCACATGAACCTAGGTCGCACCCCAATTCACTGGACTGTATAAAATATTAATATTTAGAAAACTTATGACAAATATATCTTAATTTAAGTTTAATTGAAAAAAAACTTCAAACTTCGGTTTATTTCGTCTGCACCAAATATGTCTTTTTTTTTTCTTTTTTTTTTTTTATTTATCAAAATGACATTCACAACAGTCATATTACCGTAATAGTTAGGGCATATTACCTGATAAGTTAGAGAATTTTATATGGTATTTTAAGTACCGTAAACCTACGCTGATCCTAACCCGAAGTTTTAAGTACGGTAAATACTAACCCATATTATACGGCAAACTTTTTTTATATTTATCTATTTCATCTCTAATTTCTTTTAGGTTAATCTATTTTTTCTCTCTCTCTTTATATTTATCTATTTCATTCTTACTTCATTTTTATGTTTATCTATTCTTTCTCTCTCTTCAATTCTTTTTTATATTTATTTTTGTTTTCTCTTTCATTCTTTTTTATCTCTTCTTTCTCTCTCTATAATCTTTACTCTGCGAGCCAATTTGGACATGGCCGAGAAAAGTTTGAGAGAGAGAAAAAAGAGATAAATATTAAAAAGAATGACAGAGAGAATAAGAGATAAACATAAAAAAAAAATAGAGATGAAATAGATAAATATAATAAAGAGAAAAGGTTTTAAGGCCTTTTAAGTACTGTATAACATGCCATGTTAGTTTTTACGGTACTTAAAATGCCGTAAAATTGGTTTTAGTTTTTAGCTTCACAGTCATAGCCATAGTTTTACGGTACTTAAAGTACATGCTAATTGAAATTACTATGGGATTTTAAATACCCTATAAAATGATACCTATTAAAGCATTACGGTATTTTAATTACCGTAATACTCCTTCAATTTATTACGGTATTTAAATTACCGTAAAATTCTTTATGGTAAAAAAACTACCTTGAATATTATTTTGTCAAAAAAAAACCGAAAATTGTGAGAAAAAGTGTAGGTGAGGTTTTGAAAAATTGAGAGTTTTTTCCGATTATGGTAAAATATAAATATATTAGCAATTATTTTCCTAATATTTATATAGTTCATTTTTTAAGTTTTGAATTCCATTGATTGTTTAATAAAAGAGAAAAATTTGAATACGGTTGCATCCTTAGCATGACACCTAAGGGTGCACCCTTATCAATCGTCCAATAAATTAGACGGTTGAGATGTTGACCTCATATTTCATCAATGGGTAACCTCTTGTTTCTTTTTCCTTTTTCTTGCTTCAGTTCCCTCCATTTCTCTCTCTAAAAACCATTTCCCTCCAAAAATTTCTCATGTGGAGTTCTCTCTCTCACGCTCTCTCTCTCTCTCTCTCTACCCTCTCATCCCAAGCTGTGCCTACTATTTTCACAATGGTCTTGTCGTTTCTCTCTCATACGGGTGCCCTATACAAAAAGGAATGCCCAAAAAATGCTTGTTACATGAATATATATAGAAAAATTTGTGCATCAATTTTTAAAAAAGTTTCAATTGATCCAAAAAATGACCTTAGGGTTTTTCTAAATGGATGAAATATGAATGATTTGAATCAATTATTAGATTGTTTGGTTCTGATTTGAGAGAGAAAATTAAAGAAGGGCGGATAGGTGATTTAGGATTCAATAACATGAGGTCTCACTTAAATTGTTTTCTTTTTGTTTGAAATGGGTATCATAGTAGATCTACGTCAGGCTAAAATCAATTGGATACATCTTTACCTGAAAATAATACCTAGGAAACTAATACCTAGGAAACTTTGATGAAGGTTTTGAGCTTCCTGAAGATGTTGCCCGAAAAACTTTAATGAAGTTTTTGAGCCTTAACCACTTGCGGCACAGCTTATGACTGCACGCCCTATAACCTCCAATCTGAACTTCTCTTTCTCTTCTATCTCTACCCACCCCAACTCTCCCCTATTTCTCTCTCTAAATTACTCTTCCTCCCTTTAACTCCAAAGCCTCAGGTCTGAATTTCTCTTCCTCTTCTCTCTCTACTCACCCCAAATCTCCCCTTTTTCTCTCTCTCGCGATCACCGGTTTTGCCCTTTTCTTTCCTATGCGGTCATGGCCGTCGAAATGTATGGACGGTGTATATTAGTTAAATCGTTTCTCTACCGCTACATAGGCAAAACTGCACTCCAAAAATAGAATTCTGGGTTGTTATAAAGGTTTTCTGGCATGAAAAACTTTTGACTTTTCAATATAATGATTTAGAAGTGGTCTTCTTAACAATGGTACCTGCTAAGAATTAGGTTTGGGCTAGATTGGTTAGCACCTGATATTAGTTAACACTAAATCTCAGGTTCATTTGAAATTTCGGCTCTCGAAGTCAAAAATTTTAAAGTGCATCGTAAAAGTTTTGTTTTACATCATGGACTTTACAATAGTGAAGTCTAAACTTCTTGAAAAATGAGATATTTGGACTTCCACAACTTCTCAGTTTTTAGAAGGACACGCTTCTTGTTTGAGCATTGTCTATGCTCGCTCTGGCATGTAAGACGGTTTATTTTGGTACTATGAGGTCATAATTGCCCATAGTCATCAGATATGATATTCGGTAACTTGGGATGTGTCACAAAATTTAAAAAAACTTTTTAAGACTTTGATCCCAAATAAGTCGGATACCATCAGCCATTGGATTCGACATCCAACCACCATGACTAATTGTGACCTCCTTGTACCAAAGATAAATGGTCGTATAATATGCTTTTCCTTTTTTTTTTTTTTTAAAAATCAAATTAGGGAAACATTAAAAATGTATATGCCACATTGGGGAAACAATATTTATAGGTATTTTGGTTATTTTATTTTTAAAAATTATTTTTATATTTTAAGTATGGGTACAGTTTGTATAGAGCCTAGCCTCTCAACAATCAAATTATAACCTACCTTAAAATAGTGTCGAGAAATGTGGTTTCAATATTGGAAATTTTTGTTATGGCCTTAAAATATGTTTTTATATTTATTTATAAAACTTAAAGCTTCAAAAATAGTGAATATCGACAGATCTTGAAAATCTTGAAAAATAACGGTCAAAAAATGTGTTACAAAATATACTATTTCCAAAACTTGAAATCCATTTTTTTCTCATGTCCATGCTTCTTGATGTCGAGATGATCAATTTGAAGATATTTGGGCATCAAAACAGCCTATTCTAGTTAAATTTTTTGATTTAGGCTCAAATTTTTATTGTTTAGAGCCTTGGCTCTATATAAACTTTTCCCTTTAAGTATTGTACGTGGGTGATAGGCACCCTCTCAACCATCTAATTAAATAGTGTTTTACTTGTGAGCTATAACTGCCATATGTACTCAATACAATCTATCTATCTATTTATTATATATCAATTTCTATACACTTTCTCTTAATTTACTTTTACTTTCTATCTCTTATACGTTAATCCATTATCTATCTCTCTCTATCCTACATACATACATAGGGGGAAATATCCATGTACTTTCTATTTTTTGTTTTCACATCTCAATAGACCCAAAGATTTAAAATATATCTCCTAACCCCCTAACTAACTTTACGTACTTTTAACTATTAATTTAGCTCTAACAAACATAAAAAAGATACGCTTATTCTAAACCTTTCCTTTTTTTATGTGATATATTCCCCCCAAATTTTTCTCTCTCTTCCTTAAGATTCTCCCAAATCCCTTCTCTCTCTGTGTATTTTTTCCCACTTTCTCTCTCTAGGTCTCTTGCTGCTCTCTCTACCTCGTGTTTCCCGAAACCCCTCTCTCTCATTTTGGGTTCCAAAAACAAACACAATCTACATCCATGCGATTAATATCCAACCAATCAATAGAAACAATCCACAAAAATCGAACAAATATATATAAAAAAATAAACCATGGAGAGAGATAGTGGGAAATAGGGAGAGAGGGTTTGGAAAAAGTAATGGAGAGAAAAATTTAGGGGAAAATAACATAAAGAGATAAAAATAATGGTTAAAAATGAAATGTATTTATTATATTTGTTTGGGGCAAACAAATAGGTTTAAAAAAGATAAAGTTAGCTTAGGGGGTTAGAAAATACAAGATTTAGAATTTTTATGACCCAAAATATGTTTTAAAACTTTGGATCGATTAAGATATAAAACTTAAAAATAAGAAGTATGGAGATATTTTACCTACATAAAAATAAACAACTGTTTTAGCTGTGTAATGATATATTATTGCTCTCCATCTCTCCCACGTTTTTATATTAGCTCTCTCTCTCTCCATCCTACACACGAGCAATACCTCTCTTATTATTGCGCCACTTGCCTTTTTTTATTTAATTCCTATCCCTCTCTCCCTCCTCCATTTCTACATACTCTCTTTATCTTTTTTATTTCTCTTAATTTACTCTTATTTTTCATCTCTTTTATGTTTCTCCATTATCTCTATCTCTATAACACATCAAAATAGGTAACTCCTTTAGCGATGTGATGACACATCATCTTCTTTCCATCTCTCTCACGTTTTTATATTAGCTCTCTCTCTCCATCCTACATGCATAAAAATACATACAAATAAGTAACTCATTTGGTTGTGTGATAACACATAATCTTCTCTCTCTCCCAATTAAACCAAACTTAATTTACTCATCTTTTCCTCTCTCCCACGTTTCTATATTCTCATGCTCTCTCTACATGCATGTAAAGGCATAAAAATAGATAACTCTTTTTAGTATAATAACACCTTATTTTCTAGATAACTTCTTATTTTGATGCGGCGACGTCTTATCTTCCATCTTTTTTCAATTTAAGTAAATTCATTTTTCTAACCAATTTTAATAAGAAAAAAATATCTTCATACCCCATATTTTTAAGTTAGGTTTCATTTACCAATAAATCCAAAATTTTAAAAAATATTTTGAAACATAAAAATTATAGATATTATTTCTTTTAACCCGTTAACTGCTCTAAACATATTTTTTTAAAACTAAATAATCTAAAAAGACACGCATTT